TTAATTGCTCCTGCTATGTATAAAATAGGATCAGGATTTAAGGAGTTACCCACCACACCTCAATGAGCCTTCAGAAGCTTTTAATTTAATTAATAGGTGAAGTTATCAACATCACCTATCACAATTTTCTTCGATTGATCTTCATAGTGAAAAGGGAAGCCATAATTTTCATGATGTTCTTCGCATGCGTACTACACATAGTAGGGCGTTACCCCGCTGAGTGTACCATGACTAAATGCCTGACCCTTGTACCAGTAGTTGTTTCAAGTTACTCATGCGGAAATAGTGCAGGTATCATGGGTCACGTGATCTTCCATTCCGAAGATTCCTCAACGCTAAAATTAGGGAAAGCCTTGACCCTCCTGAGCCAAAGAAAAAAAGAGAAACACTAAATTACCCATCAAAATCGTTTGCTAACCTGAATAGAAGATCACACAGCCAGCCTAGCCCGATCATCACATGTACCGGTACGAATAGACCGAGGATTTAACAAAAAAAAAAAAAAATGAGCCACCCGCGGGGGACGGGCCAGTCTCGCATTCGCTTGGTGGGGTCATGAGAAAATAAATTTTATCATACGATGGGTTCTAAATAAATTTTCGGCAGCCGATGTCATACCCTTGTCATACCCTTGTCAGATGGACACCTTTCTGCTCGTACCCTTGTTTTTAGTTGATCACCCCCCACCCAAGCAAACGACTCACCCCTCCGTGCGAGTGGCCTATCTCTCGCTGGTGCCGTTTTTCTGTTGACCAGACATGGCACTTTGTATCAAAGTGGATTTTTTTTTTTTTTTGTTAAATCCGTGGTATTGTTTTAGGTACATGCAAATACACTTCCCCGGGTACAAACCGCTGCATTCGGGAAGTATCCCATGGCAAATAAAAAACCCAAAGCACTAACAAAAGAAACGCATCCCAACCCTGTCCAATGTCCCCAATCCTACAGTCCCTCTGGTATGGGACCAACCGCACATCCTCCCCCAAAAGAAAAGGCAGGCAGAAAAGGAAACACCACCAGTAGACCCCAAAACAAAAGAAAAATTTGTAAATGCCACTCATACCCATTCTTCATCGTCCTGGTCGTAGGGCCGTGGGCAGACCCCTTCCCTTGTTTTATAGGGATCAAGGAACCCTTTGTATGAATAACCGCTACCAGTCCAAGAGCACAGGCACCGGGGAGAGATGTGGTAAACAGCTGGCAGGACGGGAGTGCATCCAGCTGAGATAGTGATAGTTTTCGACCGATCGGGGGGAAGTTGACCGGAAGGAGAAAGTAGTAACCCCACATGGCTATGTAGGCGAGAGTGCCACCAAGGAAGGGAGGTATATTTGTCAGCAGTAGGGTGCCAGCCAGGTGTTTTTTATCTCAGAGGACGCCATACCAGCACACTTATGAAGCTCCAAGTTCAGTAGCCGGGCAGGATCGTGAGATTGGGTTATGGTGTTTTACCCCGCTTTCCGCCTTCCAAAATAGGAAGGTGAAGGCAGGGTCAGGAAAATTGAGGAGACGGAGCTTGTTTGTATCAAAGTGGAGTTCCCCTCGAAACTATACCGGTAATCGGGTTCAATAGAGGTTTCGCGTTACAACCAGACGCACCCTAAGATTTTGAAGTCACAGAAAAGCCCGAAGATGCAATATCTTGTGCTCTAGGCTCCATAGCCAGAAATTACTGATACCACTAGGGCTCTTTCATGCGTACTCACCACCTTCAAGAATTTGACGAGTGATATTGTGTGATGCTAACTCACAGCGTCTCCTCAGAAAAAATAACAAGACACTCACCAAAAAGCCAACAAACCAGCGATCACTTCCAATCAGGAAATTTCCCATATTGAATGCCCAGCAATCACATTCGTAAGTCCCAATAACACCCATGCCCAACCCGCCCTCTATGAATAGAGGAAGAAAAAAAGAAAGAAGAAACACGATTATCAAAGAATGGGCATAACGCCAGAAGGGAGCAGAATAAAAGGGAAGCACCTAAAATCCCTACTTGGAAGAACGAATAAAATAAAAACCCCTAAAGAAACTCGACTCTAGTCTAACTTCCTACTCCCGAGAAACAAGGGAGAGGCTTATGCCCAGTATATCACAATTATATCGCATAAACTTCGAGGTACAAAACTACTCATATTGACCTATCGGCATAGTGCTTTCCTAACACTCCTACAGCGCCCTAAACCTCCTCACGGTGCCCCACCATACATGAGAAGAGCCCACCTAGGGATTCTCAGATCTACCGCTAAGGACTGCATTGAAGTAGGCTAGGATGGTTGGTCGGTTCGTTGGTATGATAGGGGGGAGTTTCAGCAAGAATCCTCGTGATACTCTAGCCGCAGCAGATCGAGATGGCGGCAGCGGTGTTGATTCCGGTGTAGTGATAGTGGTCCGAGGAAGAGTGTGGGTAGAGCTAAAGGGGGAGTGTCAAGTGGAGGGGCCTGTGGGGGGATTTCTGGACTAGTATCGGAGGTGTCTGAAGGAGGAATGGCTGACGAGAGTGTGACATGGGTATTTTGAGTGATCATATCTGGGGCGACTCATGGTTGTCATCGCGAGTGCTATTTTACCATGCTTTTCCTAAAAGCTGCGAAAATACTCGCTAGAAAAAGGGTTGCGAATCCTTTTTTTTTTCAAAGCTCTCTCTTTAATTAGCATTTGGCAAGCCCTGAACTCGAGAATCCACAGTATATCTAATTCTTCAAAGCGAAATTGTTACGGCCCCTGGTGGATGCTATTGCGGACCTGCGCTAGATATATAGTACGAGGCTGGTGCCAAAAATGATGAGCAGCAACGTGCAAATTTTTCACCATCGCAACCACCTACCAATACTTTAAAAAATGAATACCCCACCACGGCAGCTTCCAATGGGTGAATGGACAACACCGACACGAACTAGAGTAATTACTCTATTAGAGACAGGATTATCGCAGTCAGAAGTGGCCCATGAAACCAATGTTCCACGTGCGACAGTTTCACGATAGAGTTGTACACCAAGGTTTAGACGGACAAGATTACGACCTGGGCGCCCACGCCGCTTGGACAAACACGATATTCGTCGGTTGATTGGTCGGCTTCGAAGCGGATAGGAAGGGAGAAAGTTGTGCTGGAGACGGCTTGGTCAGGAAGTTGGGCTATCTGTATCAGGACGGACAATTCAGAGGGCCCTTTCGCGCTATGGTTATTCACGCTGTAAAGCCTGCAAAAAGCCTTTTATCAATCGACAGAATCAGCGTGAACGGATGAGGTACGGCTGCGAGCACTGGCAAAAACCAGTTGACTTTTGGAGAAAACTCATGTACTCAGATGAGTGTTTCTTCGATATATCAAAACGAGGATCCACTTGGGTCACCCGTTTACCGCACGAACGCTACCACGATCATTGTCTACAATATACCTTTCATAGTGGAAGGAGCTCTGTTCATGTTTGGGGAGCTATCAGTCATGACTGGAAGTCACCTCTTGTTTTTCTTGTTGGTAGTGGGAAAAAAGGGCTGGTTATAAAGGACTATCAACAACAGGTCTTAGAACCTATCGTCTCCCCCGCTTTCCACAGTTTGTTAGGTTTTTCAGTATCCCCCGCCTCCCAATACGTCGAAGACGGAGCACCATTACATGGGACCCGCCGTGCCTTGGTTGGGGTCAAGGCGAAGTTAGGCATACCATTACATCCTCGACTGGCTGCCTCCCCAGACCTCAACCCCATCGAAAACGTCTGGCGCTTGATGAAGCAATGCATCAAGGCACGCGATAGCTTTTCGGGAACCATTCAGGAAATGCGCGAGGCTGTAGAAGAGGAGTGGGAGAATCTGGAACCGGAAGATTGGAACGGGTATATTGAGAGTATGCCGGATCGGCTCAGACAGGTCAAACAACGAAGAGGCATGCAAACACAATTTTGATTATATTTTCTTTAAAGTCAATTTTCATTGTAATATTTAGTTTACTTTCATCCTATTAGTTTTCTTTGTAGTTGAGATATTGCCTGCAGAGTATTCTGTATCCGAATTCTAAGTGTTGTTTTTGTTGCAACTGCTCATCATTTTTGGCACCAGCCTCGTACAAATCCTAGCTTATGTACGAGCATAGATAGATGCTAATACAGAGACTCCTAGGGCGGTCTGTGTTGTACAATCAATCTCTCGATCGTTTCGTTTCGTTTTTTCTGTTATTAATTACTCCCCCGCCCCCACAACGACTTGAACATTCGAACACCCCCTCACCAGACGACATATTTCCTTCGTTTCCCCCTCCGGATTATCTCTTATAATACTGTATGAATGCACTCCATTTTCAGCACTTGGTGCTTCAGTAATCAACCCCCCATCGCACGATGTCAAAAGCGCTGACTCTCGGATAATGCGAGGCATCCTCCGAGTCCGCTATTTTCCTCATTTTTGAAATTACGACTCCAACCCAGAAGATAAAGCACCCGTTTCCAGCCTCTTCTGTCCCGACACCACCCGTTCTGCATCTTGGAATTGCTTCAGAAATTCCCGGAAGGTCTACCCGTATATGCACGCCCGTGCAGGACTCTTCTGTCCCCTACCCTCTTGCGCATAGGTTCCGCTGTCCCTCTCACTGAGTCCCCTCACTTTCCTTAGGGGGCCCCTTTGCTACCTTGGCTACTCTCTTCCATCGGTACATCGTCCCCTCTTTTCTAATATTTTGATGCTTAGCCTCACCCCCTTGAGCTGTATCCTCAAAGCCCAGGATAAGATCACTTTTGGTGATTAGACGGCCTCCCAGGCCACCCAGACACCCCCTCACCTAGGCAGCTAAACCCAAATAACAAAGCTAGGGGGTACATCTCCTCTAGCGCCCTCTCACTTTCTCTGTCCTCAAGGCTTCAAGTAAGGGTATCGTGTATCCAGGAGAATTACTTCAGCCTATTGTGGAAATTTTGTTTATGGGCCGTATTTAACCCCAAATTATGGGACAAAAGGAGGGTGTAATGCTTTCCATAAAGTCCCCACACCATTCTATATCTTTCAATAATTCCTTTGTGGTGTAGTTGGTAGTACACCAGTCTACCACGCTGGTAGTCCCCGGTTCGAGCACGGGCAAAATTCTTTTATTTTTTATCAAAGATCATAAGTTCAATTTTTACCTCCTTGAATCTTTCTTTGGTTTTCCTTGTTTTCGGTTTATTAGTGTACTACCTCCATGTCAAGGATTGGCCCATCACCCCGGAATAGCTACGGCAAGCCTATAGAACAGATGCCAATTCTCAATTAGGGGATACAAGTAGGATAGAAACTGTGAGACTAGGCAATTTTCCGCGGTCCAGTGAAACAATAAAGAAAAACCCAACACCCTAAATAAGCTTAAAACTAAACACAGACTGAATCTCAGCTAAAAGTACACACCAGGAAAACTGTCCTCCTAAGTGATCCCATATGAATACAGACATTTCCACCAGCATGCTCTAATCTCACTAGGAAACCGTAAGCACTCATTCTCTATAATGCACCCACCCAGATATATACACACTGACAGTCTGAGTTAGAAACCCACAAAGAAGAAGGAGATTATCTACCACCCCCTCTCTCACTCAATCATCCTCGAAAAGCCCCTCGATCGCTTTATAATTGATCTTCTTGGAATAACTCTTGCACATGAGCATGTTCTCAGCCATTTCCTTGCTGTTGAGATTGCGGGGTTTATTCCTCTTCCGCTTTTTGGCAGTCTTGATTATACCGTTACGAAGGTCAGTTTCCTTATTTAGACGCTTTACTATAATATCCACGTTAGCCATACCATGGCACTCATTGGGAGGGGAAGGGAGATTAAAAAGGAAGAAGAAAAAAAGGAAAGATCTTGCATTCTTGTTCACGCAAGTAGTCCTTGTTAAGCTCCACCCAAATCTTCTCCTTCAGGTCTCATTCCACTTCGGCGAGGAGGGCGCACTAGACGCCAAAGTCGTCGTGGCAGAGCCATCTAGTAGAGAGGCGATCTCGGATGCAATTGATTCCTCCGCAATGGCGGAGTGTTGTTCATCTTGGGCCTTTTTGACCCCTTGCGGTATAGGGGGTCGGTGATGTCGATTGGTGTTCAGGGCAGTGAGGAGATCGGAAGTGGCGGAGGGACGGAGAGTTCTGGGATTACGAAGCCGTCTGCGTCCAGTTGGCATGTCTTGGTTTTTCTGGATAGGCAAAAATAAATGTCAGTTAATCCGAGTGATATGTTGTGCAGTAACAAATTGCGTATCCATCCCAGGATCCAAGGAGGAGAGGTATTTGATAAACGGCTTTTTTTTTTTGTGAGGCCAAGAGGATTGGAAGTGTGCGTTGTTTGGTTCTTCAGCGGTTTGGCGGGGGGAAGGAGAGGTTTGGCCCTAAACAACTGGAAAGGGCCCTTATCAGTGCTCCCAGTCGTCCAGTCGACTAAAATTGGCCAAAGCGCCCTGCTAGATACACACTACTGCTACAATAGGTTAAAAGAAAAACAGGGTATGTAGGCAAATAAATAAAATTAAAAAATAAACAAATTTTTAATGGAGTAGTGTGATATCCATAAAAGGAAACCCAGGACTAGCGCCGTCCAACTGCCGTCCAGTCCGTCCGAAGACGAGACATTCTCGTACTCGGACTATTCATTCCATTCATTTCTCCCAATTTCGGAGTACGATTCAACTATTCGAGTTTTTACAGGTACTAGTTTTTCTTTTTTAAAAAAAAAAAAAAAACAGAAAAAAGAAAAGAAAAGAAAAAACCCAGAGTCAAACTTTTTATTTTTTAAAAAACAAAACCCCCCTGAGGTCAATCACTAAACAAACCCCTTCTCGTGATACCAATCGCCAAACATACTTTGTTTAAAAAAAAAACCCCCCTGATACCAATCGCCAAACAGACTTTGGTTTAAAAAAAACCCCTGATTTCCATCCCGGGGTTGGGGACCGTGGTTCAGGTTTTGGCGGGGGGGGTTGTGGTGGGGGCCGTGGGGCGGTTTCTGGCCGGGGCCGCGGTGAGGGGAGTAGGCACCATCTTCCGGTTATGTTAGTAAGAATATTAAGGATACAAAAAAAGGGGGATAAAAAAGAGAAGTTTAAAATAAAATAAAATAAGATATAAATAAATAAAATAAAAAACAAGGGTGGAAATGATACTTACATTTTTCTCGACAAGAATGGCAATAACAGCAGCAGGGAGGCGTTTCTCCCACATGTCGATAACATAAGCCCCTACCTATAAGATTATTAGTACCAACGAAACTGTAATTGAAATAAAAAATAAAAAATAAAAAATAATGAAAAGAAAAGAAAAGAAAAATTAGAAAAGACTTACTCCAACGACAGCCACCAATGCGGCAATGATAAGGGAGAGATCTCTCATAACCATTTTCATGAGCTCCTTATGCATTGTAATTTCCCCTTTAGTTTCCCCTTGGTACTTTGCGATTTGCTGGACTAAGTCCACTTCCCGGCGATGGGCATCCTACCGTATGATACAGTTTGTTAGCCCTTTACCATAAATGAGAAGAGGAGGAAAAAAACACCTTAATGAAATCATGCAGGTGCGTGTTTATTTCCCACTATTAAAAGTTCAAAGTTAAGAGGAAAAAAAAGAAAAAGGGAAAAAAAAGAAAAGAAAAGAAAAAAAGAAAAGAGGAAAGAAAAGGCAAACCCCAACGCCCAAAAATAAAAAAATAAAAATAAAAATAAAAAAAATAAAAAGGAAAAAGGAAAAAGGAAAAAAGAAAGAGTTAGCGTACAAGGCGGACAGGTTCCCAAGCCGGTTGACCAGATGCCGGTACCTGCGTGGCTGGTGCTTCGGCTGCCTTCTTGGCCTGTGCTTCGGTACCGGTACTCATGCGGGGGGTGGATCCACAACCCGGCAGGCGAGGAGGAAGAGCCTGCAACCCTGGGCCCCGGAGGACCCTAGTACCATGAAACCCGATAAGGCGAAACATAGTAGTATCGTAACGAAAAAAAAGAGAAAAGGAAGGAAGGAAAGAGTGTTAGAAAAGAAAGGAAAGAAAGAGAGTTAGAAAAGAAAGGAAGGAGGGTGAGGAAGGAAGGAAGAAAGGGGAAAGGGTCGTGCAGACCTTTCCCCTTATACAAGGCTGTCGGCCAAAATTTGGCCAAGCCAACAGGGGTTGGGTCACCCCCGTACTTATGACGCAACCAGGCTGGTGACAGCGGCCTGGCGCCAGTACGTTCAAATAAGATTTTTATCACCGTTTTGTCTCGAAATCGCAATAAAGTAGCATAAGTTAACTTTTTATAGCCAGCACTAGGCTTTTCAGACCTCTGAATTTGACGCAACGGTGGCCAGTTAATGCAGTATGTGTTCTCCCTGCCGACATGACCAATTGCATCTCATATTATAGTTGTATTTCCTGAACTCTTGCACATGAAGTAGTTGGTTTCGTGGTGTAGTTGGTATCACACCCGGCTGTGATATTCAGTTAACCGGTTGGTCCCCAGTTCAACTCTGGGCGAAGGGACTTCTTTTTTGTTTTGTTAATGTAGGGGAATGACCGTTTGAAACTAAGGAATTTAACCGGCAGGCCGGGAGTGGGGTAAGTCAGTCCGACAGCCTAGTCTTTTTTTGCGATGGAGATGTGGGGGGGTGGGCAAGACTTTATTAGATTTTCGAGTAGTTTACTTGGACGAACTGCAACTATTATGTTAACCATCGCTCGCTTCCTCATACAAAATCTACCAATCAGCCTTCGTCCGGGAGGGGGTGAGTGTCTAGATGACCCAGGAGGCCGTCTATCGCCAAACAAAAGTTCCCCTGTGTCTAGTGCGCTCCGTGTACCAAGGTTATTGTGTAGTATACCCTTTTCTACTTGACTCCATCTGGGTTCTTAACTCTTTGTGGATCCCTTTCACAGCATTTCAAAATCTCCACCAGCATGAGATATCACTCGATTAGAATTTCCGTGACATTTTCCGTTGTTCGCACCATGTTTTCTCGCATAGCAATTCACTCCCCCCTCTGTATACATATCTCGCTCTACTGATCACTCAAAGATTTAGTCTTTCTATAGAACTGTTACGGACACCATTGTGGTCATTTCTGCAATCCTTGTTTATCATTCACCCCCCCCCCAACCCTGCTCTGGGAGGTTCGGTTGTGTTATCATAAATCTTCTTTTTTGAATTTCATTGTTTGCTGTCACGATCGATTTCACCCGCCCGGCACCATACCGGTAAGGTGATAACCCGGGACAGTCAATAGAGAGCTTGCACAACAGGTGCAGGTAGCTTAGCAGCAGCTGAGGGATAGCGGAATGAGTACACTATATAGCCTAACATCTCATCACCCTCAAATTTTATTTCCTACCCAGGCCCGGCCGGGAGAAAGCGAGCACTTGAGTCTATTGAAATCAGCAATTTAAGGCTATTATATGTTAATTATTATAATAATGTTAAAACCTGCTGCCTCTTCGCTCCTAGAACAACAGTAGCTAGCTTTTGAAGCCACCGCGCAGTCTAATCTAAATCGCGCTGCTACTGCAATACAGCCCTTGTAAATCCTACTATCATACTAGTGCTACGGGCGGGGCAAGGGACACCAACGGATTACCGACACCCTCGGAAATCTATTATATAATAGCAATCGACATCGGCGGCGAACTCCCAGACACCAATATAGGAAACGGTAAGAAGAGGATTTACTGGTAGTGCGGAGACTATCGTAGGAAGTGCAAAACCCAACCGAAGGATTATGGCATAGCCGGGGAAAGAAGACAAGTGGCAAGGTCTAGAAGACGTAGTTCCTTTCCCCAGATTCGGTTTCGGAACCGTCGCCGGCCGGCGGTAGCTATCCGATACACCTGTGTAATTTTAAAATGGAGCGGAGTGAACGAGTGTTGTGTGGGGGGATGGTATAAGCCCTGAGTTTTGTTCTCCCCTATCGGTAGGATATTTCCTTCTTTCCGAGTGAGGCATGCTCATTTAGAAAAACGATATTGCGACGAATAACTCCTCGTCATTATGCCTCTGCTATCTACTGGTAAGTTTTGCCTCGGCGTGATGAATTCCGCGCATGGTACCATACTCACACCCGGGGGACTTATCTAATCTACAGAGACGAGGTTTGGCTACTGATGGCTTATGGTGTTGTCCTATTGTGTGAAGAATTGATTCCCTGTGTCTTGTTTGAAAGGTGGGGTTTCGCATTATTGGTATTCCTGCTGTGATGGTATGGTAATCCAACCTTTCAACTTGAAGAGAGAGAAGCTGGGGGGGGCTTGTTTTTTAATGAAACTGGTGAGGAAGGTTTGTGATGGGAACCTGGGCGATGGGGTAATGGCATGGTTTTCATCCCAACTACTGCTCCAAATTTCGGCTTCTGGGGGAAGAGTCATGTTAAATCACTCGCAAATAATCGCTCCACTATAACGGGCACTGATGTTATCGTTCTGAATCAACAGTGATTCTCCCCTCATGAATCGCTGATACAAGTGCTTCAAGATCAGAACTACCATCACCAATCTCAATTCTCGTATCATAAATATTATACATAATGCATCATAATGCATCCGCTACCTCATGGACCCACCGCCCCCACCCACTATAGCAAAACAGTGGGATCAAATGGCAAAATATACCTCCCATTAATAGCCTCGGTAACGGTATACATCAACCCAGTAGTTTTATCATAACTTAGATCCTCCGGTCCCTCCAGCACCGCACCACTGGCAATCTTAGCAAGATTGCCAGGAGTCCAGGAAATAAGATCACCATTCGACCCGCCGTTGCTCCTGGAGATGTAGAACTTCCCATTGACGGAGTTGACACCCTGCATGCGGTCGATGTTGACTTGGTACGCCCAAGTGGCGGTGGCGACACCGGCAGAGTCAGTTGTCAATTGGCGGTTGGTGTAGTCGATGCTCCAGCGGATGAAACGACGTGGTCCGGTGAACGAGGCGGGTTGGTACTCACCGACGAGGAGGCTGTCAGGTGTCGTTGTGCGGTCCAGGGAAACGAAGGAGAAGCGAACGGGCCAACCTGGGGTGGAGGGACTGGTCGAGGTGTACGTTCTGTTTAGGCTGTTAGCACGAATTTCCTCAAGATAAATAAGAAAGGGAGCCGTACCGACTCTGCGGCAGAACATAAGCATAATTCGCCGCTGAGAACCCTCCGCCATTCTTCCTCCCAATCCCATCGCCAGTCTCAACCTTCCAAATCTGGGTAAGATCAAACACCCTAAACCCCTTATCCGTATCCACTATATATAGCGAATTCCCATACCAGGCAATGCCTCCCGAATGCACTTTCACAGCCCTAAAATCCACTGTCCCAGCATTCGAATACGGCTCCACAAGCAAGACATAGCGATAGGCGTCAGGACTCTTATCCCTATCCACGAAGGCGATCCTAACACCCTTATTCTCCGCATTGGGGACGTCGCGATTATCGTACCAGCTTACGAGTGTTACGTGCTTGCCCTCGTAGGTGCCGACGTCGTACGCGTCGGCGGAAGTACTGATGCCTTGTGGGTACCAGGAGGTCGTGCCGAAGTCGTTGAAGGAGGCGGAGTTCTCCCAGCGCGTGGCTTTGTAGTTCATACCGATCGCGCGCACGTCCTCGGCGACCATGTCGTGGTTTGTTGAAGCGAGAACATCGAGAACGCTGGCTTTAGGCAGGAGCTGAGAGAGGGTGGCGATGTAGGGGTTGTATGCGGACTCTTTGAGTTTGAAGGTTGACTCCTCGAGTTTTTGGGCGGTTGTTGCGGCGGGGGATGAAAGAAGGAGGAGGGGGAGGAAGGGGGAGAAGAGTAAAGACTGTAAGAGAGATTGACAGAACATAATGAACGTAGTGTTTCAAGACAAGCCGCGAGAAGCTACCGGTATTGTACAATGACCGAAACTCGGTTTAGGAGGATTTCTCTCCCTCTTTAAACTCTTGCTAATCCCCACCTCGCTCCGCGGAGCAATACCTAGCGCAGTGTCCGGCAATCCCCCTGCCCAAAGAAGCAAGACCTCACAAGAGCACACCCACCCTACCCCACATCTGGTCTCGTATCCATCTCCTTCAATATCGGGATTGCCGAAAAATCAACTGCGGTACCCTTCATTATCTCCTGGACGGTCAAGACGGTGGGAAAATTGGTCTCATGCATTAGTGCCGATTCAGATTACTAATAATACCGAGGATAGTAAAAGCATAACGAGTCTGGTAGCCCATTATTCCGTGGCCAAGACTAAAGCTAACCTACAGATGTGTTACTTATCCATATAAGGCAAATTTAGTCGCGCTAATGCATGAGACCAATTTTCCCACCGTCTTGACCGCCCAGGAGATAACAACCCCGGGGAGTTCGCCGCACAAGAAACGAAAATCCCCCGTCATAGGAAACCACAGCGTACGGTAATTTATTATTGTGCCAAGTGTATCCTATTGTGTAGAGGCGCCGGTTATCGTTCTAATGCAGTTCGGGAAGGCGAGTAGTCGCGAGAAGGGGGAGTGGTGGTACAAATGATGCTAGATCGCTGTTCGCGGGATGGTGGGGTGGGGTTGCCAGGTTGAATACGAGGTTTTTGCCAGGGGTGAAGGATCGTGATGGTGAGCGTTCAGAGTATGAGCAGTGGTCCCAGGGTTCCGGCCGCAAGCATTCCTGGGATTTGTGCTCGTATACTCCTGGAAAATCTAGTTAGTAGGATGGTCATTCAAAGGATTTCACATCGCAGCGATACGACGACACCGGCCTTGGAAGAGATGCTGCGGGGAGGGGATCAGGGGAAAGAGATTGGATGGTTTTAGTGCTCTGATATCATAGAATGACATTAGAGAAGAGGGGGGTTGAGCGAAAATGTTGATCACAGGACAAGTCAGCAAGCCGCCTGGAACTGAGCAGGCTTTTTTTGTTACCCTACCTTGAGGAACTCACCCTTTCGCCCTATTCATCGCTTGGCAATTTTCGTGCGAAGACTGTCCTCGAATACAAGAAAGATGCGCCAGGACGCCGCTCTCGCAGCAAGATGTTATTTATTTTTCTTTCTTCTTTCTTTGCCCCAACCGAGGTCTGGGTTTGCCGTGATTTCCCCACCCCTATTCCTGACGGGGAATTTCAACGACCTAGCACATTTTTCCTGCACGACACTTACCCTACCATCCTCCTGAACCGATGGCTCCATCGGTAGAGGCGCACGAGGATCAAGGGAAAATTGGGAAAAAAGAATCCTTCCTTAAATTTATGTCTCAGACGTCTTCTCCTCATGCCATTACGCCTAGATTAAGCACTGATCGCCAGAATAATTGTTGGTTCTTAGGGTTTTTTTGGCCATTGGTTTTGGGGGTTAGAACGCCCCTAGGGAAAAAAACTTTGTCCTAGGCGGTATGATACGTCCTTTTTCTTCCCCCCACCCCGCTCATTCCGCTAGTGACTACATTTGCTAAGGCATTTTGGCAAGGGCTTAGTAGTTATGCCTGCAGTCTATCTACCAGATGGGGAGGTTAAACAGCTTTAAATTTTTGAGTGCTAAATACCGGA